AGATTTGCACCACTTCCACAATTATTTCAAAGTATATTTTGATATAATTGCGCAATAATAATTATTATAACTTATGATAGATAGAGAAGACCTGGACCAATCGCGAATCGCGCATACATTATTGCATAAATATATATAGAAAATTTCAGAGTCGAAACAATATATATATTTCTTTGCGCTCACGCGGCGTATATATTCGATTTTTAGTGTTTCATTTTTTATTTCCTTTTATTATCTTTTTGTTATTATTTTTCGCGTGGGCCCAGGTCTTCTCTATCTTACACCCAGTTTCTCGAATTGATAATTATAATAATAGTGGACGCTTAGAAGTCCATTACTCAGGAAAATGGGGGACAGTATGGGATAACAATTTTAGTATAAACGATGCTCATGTGGTATGTAGACAACTGGGATTTTCAAAAGCTTTACCTCCGACTGATTTCATTCTACAATCTCAAATATTTAAACTACTATTGGCATGAATTAGTGCTACCATGTAAAATAATAAATCTTTAAATAACTATAAACATTTTACATACTCTATTTTGAATTTATGTACAACGTTATTTTATATCATAGAATGATCAATATTTTATCGTTTGACGGTGTAGAATAATATTAAGCTTGCACAATTCAAATTGAGGATAAAATACCTTAACACAGCTACTCTATCCAATATTTTATTAGTTACCGTTTCAGTGCGTCTTGCTGGTAGCTACTATGGACGCGTAGAAATCTTCTTCAATCATAAATGGGGAACAATCTGTAACGACAAATTTGATATGAAAGATGCAAACGTAGCATACAAACAATTAGGATTTTCTAGAGCAAATTCAGTTCCACACTATGGAGCTGGATGTGGAATTATTAGCGGACGTATAGAAATCTACTACGATGGAACATGGGGCACAGTGTGCAATCGCAGATTCGATATTACTGATGCTCACGTTGTATGTAGGCAACTAGGTTTTCCAGCTGCACTTTCGCTTTACAATTATCGCTGGGGAAATAGCAGGATCTGGCTTGAGTATGTCAAATGTGACGGTGGCGAAAGCTCTATCACGGCTTGTAAACGTAACGAATCTGTAACTTCTCCTAAACCAGATTGTATTACACTCTGATCGCTTAGTTAAATAATAAACAATAAACTAGAGCAAAACAAATTTCTCGCATTTATTTCGCTACAGTATAGCCATTTGTTTATACCAGATGTGGCATACAGTATCTACGTATTTCCGAAGTATATAGTAATAGATAGTAGTCTTATTTAATGCAAAATTCAACTGAAAGGCATACAGTATTGTCACTATTATCGATCCTTGGAAATACATTTCAATTTATCATGTAAAACCGTATATAAATTAGTATCAAATTGGGAAATGAGCAGTGAGTATTAAACACGGAAATCTTTCTGAATGATCTATACTCATAGATAGGTTGTGATCATGAATACCTATGTTAAAAAGGGTAACTTTAATTACAGGCACTAATTTTTAAATCAAAACCAACTATTTCAATTGCACAGTCAGGTCTCTTTCATTTAAATAATAGATTAGAATACTTTCACTAATAAAGTCTATACGCTACTTCATAGCTTCAGCACAATGACTTCTTAAGTTTTGAGTCTATAATTTAGGTAATGTAATTTTTTATCATATTTTAAATTAGGCTACATAATTCAATCAATTTCAGCAATCAAACCTATGTAATACAAATTGACCAGGTTTCGTAAATTCATAATACTGGCGTTAGGTCTATGAAATCGCTTACCAGGCTTTTATCAGTAAATTTGAGTTAATTTGATCATTTCCCTCAACAGAAACATATACATCATCTATTTATACTATCGATTTCCATTACATTATATCAGTTAATCGTTGCATATATTACGCATATGTAATTAGTTCTAAATTACGTTCACAGAATAGGTATTCATATTGAAGATTATACTACCTGTTCATGCCGGATTTCATCGCAATTTTATGGCATACTAATTTCAAAAAATAGTATTTTCAAGTTGATCTAGTCAGAAAATTACTAAACCATTTTGCTAACTAAATAGTGAGTCTTTGAAAATTTTTCGCTTTACTTAAGCTTCATCTTGTCGTGTAATAAATTACACGCATTGCTATGAAATCGAACTATATAATCTGTTTTTCTGTACGCAAGATATCAAACGTACATATGGAGTAAATTTAATAATTACCCTTAGTAGCTACAGCCACAACTTCATTATTTACTAACATCAAAGAGTTTTTATGTAACAATTATTTAAAATAGCTTATTTAAAATACTTGAAAAATGTCGTGGAATCGAAATGTGAGAAAGTTAATTGATAATGCATTTAAATGGCCTTTCTGAATAATCTGTGTATTGATTGTCTGATTGCAAATGTCGACATCAAGAAAGGATTATATAAATGACCTGCTCCGTCCTTTATAATCAAAAACTAATTAAATTCTTTGAGTTTTGTGACTAGACTCTCATGAATAAAATATTAGAACACTTGTCTAGTCTAGGTAGAATTTACACTCTATTTATAGTTCCTGTACAAAAAATGTCTGAAGTGTGGAATCTACAGTTAGCTTAGTCAAGTAGCATAATTCCTATCCGGGATCAAGTTTTAATTGCAATACAGTATCCAAATTGTGGTGTTGTGGATTCTTTGCGATCGGCTAACTCTACCTGTAGATCTGCCATATCCGTGATAGATTGGGTTAAAGGTGGTGAATTATACTGTACGGTATTCAATTTTAATATGCTGTAATATTCGAAACCCATTAAAAGTGATTATCCAACACCAACACCGGCATTACACGAATTCTATTTCAAATTACTATTCTTTTTTAAAATCTATCTAATGAACACGCGCCCTCGTTAAATTTTCGTTAACTTTTGATTCTTGCTGAAAATGCCATTCAAAATCTTAGTCAGATTATTACGTACGAGCATACTCGAG